CACATCAAATTGACATACCAAACTTTACACTCAAATTGACATACCATCTTTACACATCAAATTGACATACCAAACTTTACACATCAAATTGACATACCAAACTTTACACATCAAATTGACATACCAAACTTTACACTCAAATTGACATGCCAAACTATTGACATACCATCTTTACACATCAAATTGACATACCAAACTTTACACATCAAATTGACATACCAAACTTTACACATCAAATTGACATACCAAACTTTAAACTCCAATTGACATGCCAAACTTTACACTCAAATTGACATACCAAACTTTACACATCAAATTGACATACCAAACTTTACACATCAAATTGACATGCCAAACTGACACATCAAATTGACATACCAAACTTTACACTCAAATTGACATGCCAAACTATTGACATACCATCTTTACACATCAAATTGACATACCAAACTTTACACATCAAATTGACATACCAAACTTTACACATCAAATTGACATACCAAACTTTAAACTCCAATTGACATGCCAAACTTTACACTCAAATTGACATACCATCTTTACACATCAAATTGACATACCAAACTTTACGCATCAAATTGACATACCGAATTGACATTTTCAAGTCAACTAGTATATTTATTGTACCTAATACTGTATGTCAAGTAAATTATTTACACTGAGAAATGAAATGTAATTAGTAAAACGTTTACTGATAATTGACTCGTTTACAGTTGAAGAGTTTTACAGACAAAAACTCGCCTACCAATACTTTTCTATATTTAATGACAATTAGAAGAAAAGGTGCTAATTTCTTGGTGTTATTTTTTCGGTAAAATAGGACAGTTTTTATAGTTAATAGCTTTTCAAGATTTCTATTTATAGAACATCATTAGATGGCACTTAAACATGACGTCATTTGATAAGTAGAATATATCAAAGATTATGATACATTTAAAGAGAACATTTCGACTATTTTTTTTCTACAATTTTTGCATTCTGAAGGACAAGGTTAGCAAGTGAAAAGAGGCTTTTCTTTTAAAAGGCCATGGTTCGCCATTTTCGGAGGTTGATTTGGGTCTTGAATATTCGTGTATAATCTTCAGAAGTACTAGAAATGTACGGAAATGGCATAATTCCTTTAAAAATATCTCAAACTAGGAATTATTTTATCTTTCTATTTCAAAGTAAAGGTTCACAAAGATCCTTTCTACCAGCTGATCCTTGACCAAACCTCTTGGTATTGATCTTTCACTGGATTATCTGTACCCATTTACAGCTGGGTTGACTGGAATAATGAGGATCCTTTCTACCAGCTGGTCCTTGACCAAATCTCTTGGCATTGATCTTTCCTGGATTATCTGTACCCATTTACAGCTGGGTTGGCTGGATCTTTTTAACCAACTGGTCCTTGATTTTTCCC